TACTTTGTTTGGCCTCCAAAAGAGGACGATATCCGCTTCGTCATGCCTGGAGCTGATCCGTGCTGGTCGCTGAGGAAATACACCAACTTAGTGCTGTGGATTGGCTTTCACCGTGGACGAAGCCCGGGGTCGTAACGTGGTTGCCGCTCCTTCGTCGAATCCGCCGGGTCGCGCCGTTCTCGACCCCACCGCCTCTGCTCACTCTAGCCCGGCCTCAGCTCACGCTAAGCCGCGGCTACCTTACTTTTTCAGACCGATGAGCTTTGTAAAAATCGACGCGTTTCAGAAAGGCGGGGCATAGAGGAGAAACAATAATGTACAGTATGTGGAAAATAATGTGTTTTTTTTTTTTACTTTAAACCGCATAAATACATTTCATTACACCAAATACACAAAATAATGTTCTTTTTAGCAACATCATATGACCCCTTTAACTTGTGTGACATAGTCATGTGTGTCCTGAAATCACCTCATAGACACCGTTGAAAACAGTCACGAAGAACAGAACATCAAAACATAATAATGTCCTAATGAAACTCTAAAAGGCTTTAAAAAGCCTAAGTGTAGCGAAGGGCCTGTTTGTGTGCTTTCTCGGTCTCTTTTCTCTGTTTGGTGATAAATGCGTGTGTTTGAGGATGTGTTTGCCCATCTTTGGGTTCATTTAGCGGATTCCTACCTCCGGGACGCCGCAAAGATCCCCTCTTTCAATAACTGAGGTCACTCAGTTTGCACGTTATATTTGCTGGTGTTTAAATCAACAGAAACGAAAGCTCAGAGCTGCAGTTCAGGACGCGTCCGACAGATGGCGGTGTTGACCAGCGCGGAACGACAGTGCGCAAATACAGCGAGTTTGATGCAAGTCACACGAAATTGTGCTTCAGAATAAGTGTAAACACTGAAGTGCATCGCGGCCACCAGCCTTTTAACGCTTAAAAGTCTATTTATTAAAACAATTGTAAGATGTTCCGTGTATACGTCACACACTGATGCATGCATTATAGCTGGTCATCTTCAGTGTCTGCAGCAGTTGCATGCATAAGAGTGATCTGGGACTGTGTGTGTGTGTTAGAGTGTGATCTGCTCTGTTGTCTGCAGTATGCATGCATGCATCAGTGAGTTTCAGGCTCTTTGTTGGCTGGATGGAGGCGGGGCGCTGCGGGGCCGCAGGTCCTTTTGTGCCCCTCACATTTTGGGCAAAACCAGTACCACCGCGCTGCAGACGCGCCCAAAGCATGAAACCGGACTATACAAAAAGAAAAACTTCACAAACAGCGACGTGATTTTAACACAGCGTTTGGGGAAAGCTGTGAAATTGTAGGTGAGTCATAAACTCGTTGGGCCAGGAGAAAAACTTTCCATTATTATTATTATTATTTGTTGATGATATTTAGTTAAGTGACTTATCTTAAACAACTTTCTTTTCTTTATAGACATACGTTATCTTTTGTGTTGTGCATTTTTGTCTGCTGGACTGTTCGCTGGTCACCAGATTACCCCGTTACTACCTGATTCTCAACTAGCTGTAGGCGTTCGTCAGGAATACTTGGAACGATTACGATTTCGCGTTGTTTTAAATTTGAAAAGCAAAAGAAAACAGAAGTTAAACGTAAAATATTGATCTGTCAGTAGGGTATATTAAAATAAATTATAGTGAATAACGCCATTGATGCCCGAAATGCATCAACATTTACGCAAACTGAACACTGATCCGACTCCAAATTTGTAAAAAATTGAATATACACTCTAAAAAATACTGGGTTGTTTCAACCCAACTTTGGGTCAAATATGGACTAACCCAACCGTTGGGTTAAAAATGTAATGTAAAAATTTAACCCAACGGTTGGGTTAGTCCATATTTGACCCAAAGTTGGGTTGAAACAACCCAGCATTTATTAGAGTGTAGCCTAATAACTTCTCCCACACACTAAAAATCTAGTCCTACATATTAATACAATCTTGTGATAGGTTTGTTATGGTAAAAGTTTTACATGCTGATACGTATTAATTAGTACATTAGGCTACTGACTGATTGTCTTTTTTAAGACAAAAAACGTTGTAAAACTTTGGTGGGAAACATGATGTTAAGTATACTTCATATTCATGAAGTTTACAAGATGCAAACAATGTTTGGCTTTAGTGGCCTCATGGGTTCCACTACCCACCTGCCGCATTGGCCCTCACTTCTAAATTAAAATATTTCACAATTTTTTTTAAACAAGCTAAACTTTTAATTTAAAAATAACTTTTTAAATGTTTCAAACTTAATATATGACAACTTATTATAGAGAGAAAAAAAAAAGTCTATTTGTGTTCATCTGGGTTATAGTTCCAAGGAGAACTCTGAAGTCTTTAAGAGAGTGTGTTTGTAGTCCTGCGGTCTGGCAGGTGTGGGATGTTGTGCACTGTTGTTCAATCTCCCGCCAATATTGCACTCGTCCCGGCCTCCCTGACCACGAGGAACACGCGACTCCCGCTGCAATCTCCTGCCACAATGAAAAGCTCGACCACTAGGGCGGCGCCAGACTGCAGGTGTGAGTATATGGCAGTTACTAGCTTACTACTTACTGAATATTGTGCAGTATGCATCATAAACTGTGTACTTTTTTGCATTGCATACAGTATTCCATACAGTGTGCACTGATGTATACTGCACAGTTTGGAAAATATAATAGATAATTCAAGTGTTTATGCATTTATGTATACAGAAAATTCGCATATTGTGTGCAATATACTATATTCTGCACAAAAAGTAAGCGTATACAAGCATGCTTTTCCAAACATAGCATATATTTCTAAGTTGAGTTGATATAAAATATATTTTCTAGAGTTTTCATATAGTCAAATATAATGTTTAATATAATTTTATTTTAACTAATGTTAAATTAATATATTTCTATACATATGCTTGAGCTTAGCTCTCATTCATCATTAATGGCATACAGAACAGGAGAATTCTGGGGTTGACATATTAAACTGTCATTTTTGGTAGTTTTAGAATTGATTTCTGTTTTTGTCATGTATTAATAATGATTATAGGACCATTTGGGTATTTGTTGTGTTCTAGAAAATGCATCATATCCCTTTATTTCAAGACAACTGTTAATGCAAACACACACTAATGGACTCTCTCAAACATACACTCATACTCACACATTATACGGCTACGCAATGACACATAAACGAACAAAACGTAAAATAAAAGTCTTTTCTCTCCTTTCATTCAGTCTCCTCATCCGGAGTGACACAGACGCTGGGTAAATCTCTCATCTGTCCTGGTTGTTTGGCCCCTCGCACACAGGAGTTCAGTGGCCCCACACTGGGTTTCAGAGGGTTTAGAGAGAGACGGAGGGTGTCTCACTCCCCTCACACCTTTATGTACATTAGAACCTGTTTACGGTGTGTACTGAAGTCCTCTGGAACAGTATCTGGAAAATATATGTTTAATTTGCTTTGTGAGTGTGTTGTTTTATTGTTGCAATCCTGTTTTTTTGTCAATAAACAACTTTTATTCAGAATTTGTAGATTTTAGATTTCTTGAAGACTCGGAGGGTCTGGGGATCATGATTTAAATATCAAAGAGTGGATTAATCTTTACCGTTACAGCGGTAGCGCAGATTGGACCAAATGATGTTCTCTTGAGAGAAGCAGAACACGCCCAGGCGCCCTCCTCTCATGGTGGTGTCAATCACAACATTGGAGTCAGCCACCATCTCTGTGCCTTCATACAGCTTCACCCTGCAACACGTGAAAGCCCTCTTATATGTGACTGTAAAATACTACGGTCAGGACTGGATCTAGATTTAATATTGAACATAAAGTAAACAACA